CTCCTTCTTCTTCTTCTTCTTCTTCTTCTTCTTCTTCTTCTTCTTCTTCTTCTTCTTCTTCTTCTTCTTCTTCTTCTTCCCCTCTTCCTCCTCTGCTGCCTCCTCCCTCTCATATGTGTATGTCTGTGTGTCTGCAAAACCATGTTAGTAATATCGTCATACAATTGTTTAACAGATTAGTTCCATTGTTTGTTGTTGTAGTTTTTTGTTTTGTTTTTTGTTTTGCTGTTGTTGTTGTTGTAGCTGCTTCCTATGAAACATCTATCGTCCTTATCGCCCCTTCTTTTTTATGTTTGTTACTCTCTTGTAACACCTCTAATCTTCTGGCGCTCATATGACCTAATGCAATTGCGAGCGCCGTAAAACCTCTACTAAAACTAACTGTTGTAGCTGCTGCTGCTGTTGTTTAAATAACATTAATCCTCTTAAAACCCGAAAGTGAAGTATCATCTACGAGCGCAGATATGATTTCCTCCCCAATTTTCCGCTCCATTTACGAGCTCATCAATTCGTACAGCTCTTGACATCCGCGTAATTATAGTACTCGTCCCTTGACATTCAAGACCTTATGGGGGTGACCTTTTACTATAGGTTGATATCAATAGCTACCAGCGTGAGGGGAGAAGTAACCCTTCGATTGTGCTCTCTTATGTATCGTCAATGGGGTCTTGCAGCTCGATCGTGTTATCTTACAACCAGAAGTTTCCCGCCTTAACTCTTTCTGCACGAAAATTTACCGACCTAAAGTTAATGGGTGGGTACTGGGTAAAGATTGTCTTTGGTGGTATGTGCAACTGCTATTATGTCGCTCTTTTTCTGGGGGGTTTCTTGTTGTTGTTTTTTACCCTGCATCAAACGACTATTATTGTGTCGATGAGCTTCTCTGTAGTTAAAACAAGGCCCGAAGTTAAGACATTTTAACTGATATCGCCATTCCAGTCACTCTTACTAAAACTAAAATCGTTTTTAATAATATGTTTTTGAGGCCCCGAGTGAAGAAGTCCATGTTTCATATCTTTCAAGACCGATTCCCGAATAATAATCAGAACGAAGCCCTTTAAACAAGAATTACTGAGATCTTTTGCAGCAAGTCTACTTTGAAGCTTGAATTAAAATTGAGTTCAGAAAAAGCCGTGTGCAGGGTTTGGAAAAAAAAAGGGGGGGGGGGTTGATCTATATTCCTGCCTGTATTCTGAGTGGAGGTAAAGTCTTTTTTTTAGGTTGAGGGAAAGGGGGGGGTATATGAAAGGTTGGCTTCTATACATCTATAATACATTTTTAGTAAGGGATTTGTTTACCAGAGGTCTATCTCGCTCCTCGTTGCACCATCAAATCTAAGTTGCACCATCAAATCAACAAATCAATGCTTATTCAGATAGCTAGGCGTTGTTACAAGGTACTTTGTCATG